TATGTGTGTGTGTGTGTGTGTGTGTGTGTGTGTGTGTGTGTGTGTGTGTGTGTGTGTGTGTGTGTGTGTGTGTGTGTAGTATATATATAGTATATACTATGTATATAACGATACGATACAAGGATGGTTTCATGGGAGAGTTTGATTAGCCCCCACTAATATGAATTATACTGATCTAAATATCCACAGATCGGCTACACGGGGAGAGCGGATACATGAGCAGCCCCGAGCGCGGCGGCGGTGTCGGTTCCGGAAGCGGAAGATATCCACCGGGGCCTTACAGCGCTGGCAGCAGCTACGAAGACCCGTATTACTCGCAGTATTCGGGAACTGTTACTCCCGTTATCGACGAAGAAGCCAGGTAACCGGAGTTCCGCGCAGTTTCGGAATAACGATTCACCATCGCACGCGCACTCGTAACCTCATAACGATCAAAGGCAGAGACGATTATATCGCTGGTAATAAACGAGATTTGCGCATTTCAGACTGCACGGCATGTCCCAGATGTCACACGTTTATCACTTGTCATCCGCCAGGTCCTTGATTGATTCGAAGTCTGTCTGAGATCTGTGAATAATTTTGCGAATTCAAATTCGAGACACGCGGAAGGAGAACTTTACTTTTTGCCTGTAAATATTGATTGACGCGTTATTTTCATAAAGTTTCGGTTAGTCATATTTTCGTACGAATATATAATTTATTTCGTCAAAATATGAAGTTACATAGCACCGAATATTTACGTATTTCCGCTAAAACTAATTACAGACGCCGATTTGTAAGTAAAATGTGGGGAATCTGGGATATTCTGTACATGTAAACTCCGCTAGGAAAACTAATTACATAATTTATCCGTTTGCAACGAATATGTCATCCCATCAAAATCCATTTCATTCATTTTCAATGCGTTTCCAAACGTGGATTTTCGATCGCACTAGAGAAACGTCCGCTCATGTAATATATTTTTGTTTTTGAATAAATACATCAGAATTAGTCGAGCTTACATTAAACTACCGATTACAGTATTGTCGTCAATGGGTGTCTGCACTTTATTTCGGTCCTGTTAAGATTCAACTATCGAATAAAGCAAGGATCGTTATACTCTCTCACGTGTGCTTGTCGACATGCAAGAGACAGAAATGCAAAGGCGAATAAAGTTCTCTTTAGATTAGGAAAACTTTATTCCATTAATCAAATATTTATTTACCAGCTTGCATTTCTCTCTGTGAGAATTGCTTCCTATAGTGTTCACCTCCTCTTTTTGGCTCTCTGCACTTCGAGTATGTTCGTGTAAATTCGATTAAATTAATTTGCAAGAATTTTACAGACTGTGATGACGTATATTTCTTTATGATAAAAGCATCCAAATATCAGAAATATAATTACTGTTGCGTAACAAATAAATTACAATTACCACAAACATGTTTTATACAGACACATCGTCTTTTCTAAAGATATAAAAATGCCAATGTGTAAAAACTGTCCTACTTTTAGTCTCATAAATCCAAGCGATCGTGGTTCTCCACCTTTGCATCACTCTTACAAGTCACTCGAAACCGCTTCAACGCGACGATTATTCGAAATCAGAGTCTCGGCTAATCACCGATTATGAAATACGAGCGGAGTGCGAAGGGTCGAAGCCCACGTTGATCCCCTCTTTCTCTTTCCCGCACACTGACCATGTCTGTCGAAAGACGCCGTAAATTCAGCGGCGCTTTTCCACGCGCACCTTGTACAATCCGGCTGAATAAACTCCGCTCACCCGGAAACCCCTAACCCTCCCAGCACCCCTTCGCCTGCCCGTAGTTGCGAGTAAGCCCTGTACGAGCAAAACGACGTCGTCGTCGTCTCCGTCACCAACACCACCACTTCCACCACCACCACCACTACCATCACCACTACTACCACTACTATCGTCAGCACCATCACTACCACCACTGTACTACCTCGTCCTACCCTGTGCGATCGACCCTGATCTGGTCTCCGCACAACCGCCGCCAGTTAGATGTCTGATAGCGCGGATGTGTATGTCTGTTGTGGGTGGTGCAGCGATACGGAGCTATTGGAGGAATCGTACAGCCTTTACGGCGTGAAACCACCGGGGCGTCCGCCGCCTGGTCCCCCGCGGTCCCCGTTTCCTCCGGGTGCACCACCCCCTCTGCCACCCGGCGGACAGAGCTACGACGCTACTCGGTACTGCACCCACGCACACACACTCTGTCGCCTGCGTGTTTGTCTTACGTAGAGGCCTGCCTGCCTGCGGAATAAGAGGAAATAAAAGAGAAAAAAAAGAGCAAGGGAGAAAGAGAGATAGATATGTAGAGACATAGAAAAAGGGAAAGAGAATAGAAATCGCTGCTGAGAACCGTGCCACGACCGGCTGGCTGGCTAGCTGGCTCTGGCTGGATGCTTGCGAATGAATACGAGTTGCACGAATGTCGTTCCGAAGCGAGCCTCTGGAACAGCGGCGAATCCGGGATCCATGTTGGCGAAAGTCTTCAGAAATTCCCCGAACCCGAGCGAAAATGCCTCGGTGGTTTTCGCTTGTAATTAAGGGGTGGAATTCGGTCACGTTTTCGTATATCATGACTTTATTTCAACGTCTGTCGATTTGAACCATTCCCCTTGGTAACTGGGAATTTTAATTGAAAAAGTCGCGCCACCCAATTTACAGACAATTCAGATTCGATTTTGCCACTTCGTGCCTGGATTCGCCGCTGAAGCAGAGATGGATACTTTTGCACGTGATTGTTCGTCGACGATGAGAAAACGCATGATATAAATTTTCTTCGTGCCGAAAACGATCACAAACCAAGCGTCTATTAATTCTCGGCAGCTGCCGTGATATCTAAAAGAAATTTCGCTGCAAAATTAATAAAAATGCAAAAAACTAAACAAAATCTTGCACGAAAGATTCTCTTCTTTCGGGATAAACGGGTTTAAGTTACAGTATTATTTCATGTGTAAATCTTTATTTCAGTTTTAGTGTACCCCTAACTTTAAAAAGGATTCGTTAAAAAGGATCATAGATTCGTCAAGGATTCATGCGATATTAAAAACGTAACATTTATGGTAGCTGCGGGAAATTAATAAATTGAGACAAAAACGCATATCTCTTTTTTGTCGCAATATGAATTATTCTCAAATACAGAATGATATTGCCAATTACGTTCTCTGTCATTGCGAGGCAACGCGATATGATTAATAACATATTCGTTTATGAACGACACATAATCTCGCACAAAAATCTGTATTGCACCACAGAGAACATGGAATATTTCTAGCTGCAAAATCACACTTCCGAGCTTGGATGTTAAAATGCAATATTGACCGGTATCCATCGCTGCTCAATTACTGGGAGTGGTAGCGTCATCCAGATCAATTGCTCATTTTTATTTCACATTCGTACAATGCAAACGATTGCAACGTTTCCATCGTGTTTACCTGACGCGAATAGCATTCGCAAAATTTACACTGATGCTTCACGGCTCCCCATCGTGACTCTTGTTGCGCGATGGAACCCATTTCAATGCAGAGCTTGTGAAATTGTCACGCGGACACAGCTATCTAGTACATTTAGAAGTTCACCATTTCAGAACTAATCCGATTATTGGACAAATGTAACGTTCATATTCGCGAGATGTTAAGTTTGCCGATTGAATTGGAACGCTAACGGCCTCCATTTGCAAAATTTCTATCGTCTACTGAGAGGCCGATGAAATTTTCAGAAAATTTACAACAATTCTCTTTGCCAATATTAAGAGAGACGTATCCGCACGCTACTACCTCCTTTCTTTACACGAAGCGAAGGCACTATAGCCATAATCAATAGACGTGTCGTCTGCAAGTGCATGTTGTAGCATACGTCGATCATCTCGATCGAGTTTTCGCGAAAGAGATGTCACTGCCAATTTCGCCGGGTCATACTCTTCACCTGGGGTAAAGTGGGATCGATCGGTGGCACGATTCAGCGGATTTGCACGTGAAAGGCACGGAAGAGATTAAATCCAAAATTGTCCGAGATTGATAAACTTAAAAAAAATAGAATAAGCGAAGAGATATTTTCAATTTTTCGTTTTTTTCGGGACCGAGCTTCATCCCCTTTTCGATCGCACCGCCGGTCTCGCCACACTGTATATTGCATATCTATTCCAGCGCGATGCCCATATTTCTCGGAACACCTTATACAGGGTGTCTGATGCAAGACACCTCAATGCACGTGTATGCAGGTAGACTACATCAACGTGTGAACAAAAAATACCTTATCATCAAACAATCACGTAAACTTTCGAACGATTAATGAAAGAAATTGGCGAATTGGTATACGCGAGGCTTGGGGCGAACTCTATAGGCGCGATTTCACCGGAAATGACTGAGACTTGCGACTTAGCGACACAGATATTAGCCGATATCCACCTTCGCAGTCGTTTCTCAACTATTTTCAATCATCTCGCGCCTGTGGAGATCCTCCCATAACGTCGCACGCACTGATTTGCCGGTCTTCTTTCGTTAATTACTCGAGATTTTACATGGTTAATTGAAAAATAATAAAATATTTTTTGCTCAAGTTGACATGGTCTACTCGCAAACGTGCATTCGGATGTCTTATGTCAAAATCTTGTATATTATATTTGCAAATACCAAGTACGCTCTGTATCGCTCGAAAAACAAGATGTGTGTGTGTGTGTATATATATATATACTGTATGTGTAAATACTTTCAATGTGACTCGAATATATATGATACATAGAAGTGTAACTTGCAATTTCGGTGGAATGCAGCATGCCGACTAGCGATCGTAGACGAGAATGCATTGATCATATACAGGGTGTTTCAAATGTATCGCAAAGTAAACGGATAACACACAAGCGCGAACTGCGAATTATTATTATACACGCTTCGAAGTAAATTCGACAAACTGACAAAATTCTTACAATATTTATTCTGCAACGACCAAAGTGATGCAGTTAAATCGAGTAGTCGTTATATCGACAGCGTATCGTCGGGTTCATGTTCTTATGCCATTTTCAATTTTCCTTTACGGCTTCGCCGCCGTACTTCGCTACGTAATTACTCTTTCTCGCAAAAAGTTTTCTTCTTCGAGATTCTTACCTACGATACATCCTTATTAATACTGAAAAGAAAACTTTCTAGACGGAATTGATATTGTATGATGAAAGAGATATGTTAGAAAGAAAGAGAGAGAGAAAAGCTATAGAGCCCGGATATACTCAAGCCGGATCTAAAGCTTACTTTCTCTCATGCGACTTGGCGCAAAAGTCTATTACATACGAGTCAAAATTGATTGAGCCGCGAAGATGTTGTAGCCAATCTGATCCGCGTGTCACACATATCACCCTGTATATCATTTTATGTACGTACTGTCACCGTGACGTAGATTGGGCACTGCTGTCACTTGTCATGCGAAGCGATAGATGCACGTGATTAGCATCGTGTTATGCAACTCATATCCGTTTTCACCGATGGGAAACACGTCCGGGACGAAGTTTTCAGGTGTCGCTGGCGTGTGTGCACTCTCGACGTCGACGACGGTCGTTTCACGTCCTCCCCCGGTGAAAACGGATCTGTACAGAGTCTATGGTCTATTTTTATTGTTAGTATGTCGTGACGTCACGCGCGCGCATACGCGATGTCTCACTGTAGGTCAAATGGTGTCATTAGATTACAGAAATAAGTAGCCGTTAAGTAAAATACATTATTATCGAGACTAAATATACGCAAACGTTCTCCGAGGGAACACGCGACGTTAACGTATGAGATGTATGTTGTCAGTATCGTTTATTTAACACCGTTGATCGCTCAATCGATGCCATTCCACTCTCTTCTCCGCGAAACTAAATTACAATTTCGTTGTAATCATCATTGTATCGTCATTTCACGATATTACCATGATCATATCCATCATTATATTCATATAATATCGTCAGTAAGAGAGCTTAATACAAAATCTCGTTTGATTTTAGAATCATCAGGATCGTATTGTTCCACAAATTATTTGCCCGTTAATGTACGCGTTCGCGAAAAATCTCACGCACATCACTTGTGTTTGAGAGACCGAAATTGAAAAATTAATTTAATTTATTAAATGGAGATATGATTTAATTAAACGGAGACATGATTCAATATTTTGCGGTTGCAGAAAGTCTTTCGTGCGATTTAACAAATTAAGTTATTCCAATTTCGTTGTTACAACAACACGGTCTTTATTGCGCATTTTAACGAGTTACATTCACTTCATTTTCACGTACGATATCGTTCGAGAACAAACCGCGTCTTATTTCAAGTAATTACAATTTATTTGAAATATTGCATTATTAGTCAAACGAGAAAATAAGCTCGTAACTGTTTTTAGAGCGATGGACGTTGCTAAATTGACGTTACTTCATCCTCTGACCGAGAACTATTTGTCACAGGATAAGGGTGGAACACATGGAAAGACAACTGGCCAACCTGACCGGGCTCGTTCAGAAAGCTCTAACGCACGCTCCACACACCAGTCCTTCGCCGCGAGAGTACTTGCAAGTCCCACCAGGACGTGACCCCTACACAAGAGCCGCAGGTACGTGTTTCCATAAAGCTCTCACGGGTTCACTTTCTTTTTGGGTTTCTTTCTATACTTTGTTTTGTCCATTTCACTTTCACGATAACAGCATTTTCCTTAGTTATTCCGTTTCTTCATTACGATAACACGAGACTCGTCTCGGATATAACGAGAATGAATGATGCTTTGTTTACTTTTCATGGAAATTATCTGCAATTCAACGCGATTTTCCTTGGAAGAGCTTCCTTTGTAACGATTCTCAACAACGACGACAGTACTTAATAGTCTTTTTTTTACGTTGCGGCGTTCATTACTCGCTCAGTGGCTCGTGAATGCTGTCTATCGTGAGACCTCAGTCGATAAAAATTAAAAATAAAATAATAATAAAATAATGTTCCGGGAAATAATAAAATAATTCATCTTCCGGGAAATTAAATTCGTATTGAAAGATCATCAGCACCGGATATTAGACCGCATCCAAGAAGCCGTTATGCAAGTTCCGAATACTTGGACAGAAAAAGATTGGAATCTTCATCTAACGCGTTCAGTTGTGGACAAGTTCAGTGAAACAAATTGCATCATTTCCGCTATTTTGGAGGCAAGTCGCGCTATCTTTAACAAGTCACGCAATTGTCGTCATAGTTTAATTGGGGGCTTTAGTCTCACCGAAGACAATCGATACGTTTTAGCGGTGCCGCTCTCGGTTCATTTCCCTCCAAGCATTTCGTTGCTTATTTTACAGAAGAATTAGTGCATTCACTTAATTCACCAAGATAGTTTCAGCTAGGAAGCATACGAGACTGCTAGATCCCACACTGAGTAGTCTCTACTTAACATTCATCTGTCCGTTTCATCCGTGCCTGTTCATCTATCCGCTTCATCGTCTTTCGACCACTTTCAGACATCTCGAAACGGTTCTTAGTAACATCATTATGCCGGAAATGCATCGGAAACGATAGTCGATAACTAGAAGCTGGCGATAATCAGGCGATCACGTCGGTATTTTTATCAGAGACCGGCATGTTAAGATAATTGCAATCGTAACAATTAAAATCATAACAATTAAATACAGAGAAATGCAAATGCGGAATGTAAACACTAGAAAAATTATTTTTCGTGCAGAAAAAGATCCTCGTATTATCAGAATCATATATCATCACTATGGCCGTACGGAGGAAAAAGAAACAATCCAAATAAAGAAATATGAGAAAGGGAACTTGCTCACATATTAATGTAAAAAATTGGCGAAACTGTTTGGCGCACGCATATCTTATGTCTCCGGTCGTGATGAACGCCGTGGTCGCCTCCCGGATAAGCCAAAATTCACTGAAACGACACAGCCTTAGATATAAACGTACATACATATATGTTGCATACATACATGCAGATATACATATATATTGGAAGATTTTATGCCGTGAGCTACGCGCCAGCAACAATATGCCATATGTCATGTCCAGCATGTTCCAAAACCGCACGAATTCTGCAGAATATTCGGACGTATATCGCTAAATAGCGCAATATTCGGAATGTGCGTCGATATCGCGAGCGCGATGACATTAATTTGTTATGTTAAACAATGTAGCGAAATACACGGAATGTCACAAACGGTGGTCTTTGTATGTTTTTGTGCAAATTCGATAACGTCGGCGATGCAAATTTTCCACATTAGAGAATTAGCCGTGAACCATCGATGTGTAGAGTGGTGGAGAGTCGGGTCTGATATCTCACAATTTGATGTGCGACTAAATTTCTCTATTCATTACGAAGTGACAAGACAGTTTTGCGAGATAGACTCTCGAGCCGCTTGCCAATTTCTGAATGTAAAAGTTACCACGTCAATTCTATGCTGAATGCAAACTAAAGCCGCTGCGTCAGAATCTAGTAGTGATATTTGACGAACACTGATAACGATTGTACACAGAAAAGAGTGATTTCCGCTCAACGAGATTAGGGCTTCATAAAAGTTGCTATCATAAAGTTGAGTTTGTTAAATCGCGTCTGTTGGGAGGGCGTATCCGCAAAAATTTCCATGCTGGTAACTTGTATTCGAGGACGTCAAGTTTGATTAGCGTAGTTTTCGGCCGGGGTCATATAGTTGCCCAGCGATGTAGCCTCACGGACTGAACTCTCCTGAAACCCTGCTGTACAACTGCTTTGTTATTCCGACTAATGCACACACCAGGCGCCGGGGACGAGTTCGACAAACACTCTAGCTCCAGCTCTGCCTCACTGCCAGGTGTGTCTCTCATCTTCTTCTATCTTCTATTCACCTCCGAATCACTGTATAGCCGCTATTTATATATATATATATATATATATATATATATATATATACATATTTTATAGTTATACATATGTTTATACATATACATACATTTATATATGTATATATTATGGCCTTTTTATCTCTATTTTTACATATATTTATATACATATCTACGTATATATACATATATATATATATATATACATATATACATATATATTTTTAACATTGTCTTTATCTTTATCGCCGTTTTAATAAAACGCGTATCCTTTAAAATTCAAGTGTCTCAACCTGCCGTTACAGATGACTCGTACTTAAGGACTGACGTTAAACCGCCAAAATTAGGCAAAGGTGCGCTTCAATATATGTTTCTTTCTTTACATGCACTTTCGAATGCTCTCACTGCATCGCCGCCTCTTACCACCTGCGTTATCACCGTCACACATGTCGCACATTCACGCTCTTGTATCAGCTCGGCCGTTTGCACTCGAAGAAAACGCCTCAATTTTGCAATATTCTGCTGACATATTCGAGCGTTAAGTTCGCGGATAAACTTCGCACTATCGTTAAGTTTGAACGGCTGCCTTCCGTTCCTTCTCAATACTTAATTGTTCGTCGATATTCAAATCGCGTGCTTCTCTTACCCGTTGATTTCCTTTTCGTTTCTCGCGGATTGAAATGCCGCTCTGAAAAGGGCAATTCACTTCGCCGCGGCCGTTTCTCACGACACGCCATATTTCCTGCAATCAGCTTCGATTTTCGTTTGCACGGTGCGCACACGCCAAGGTCTCCACAAATTCACGACCGTTTAAGCCAGCGCCGGCTCTAAGGGTAATTCAGAGGAACGGTTACTTGAAGATTAAGGGTTGCGAAATGTTCCGCGCGCGATTGCGCTAATCAGAATATTTCAGAACTCATTCAAGTTCGAAGCCAACTCGAATTGCAAAAGAATAAGGGAAAAGAAACGCTACAGTTCTACAACACAACTGATTTCTGAAAATTATCATTTAGGTTTTTTCCATTATTTTCAATAAAAGATGCTCGAGTGAACGAGAAGGGAGAAGACTGTTCGAAAAGCGTTCTGTTCCCAGAGCTTCCCGGATATATTTTTATGCTCTTAAGGCTGAGGCTGGCTTTATTCCTACATACGTCACGCACACTTTATCGAGACCCATTCGGGCCAAACGCACACATTTACATACACGCTTCTTATGCTTCGCGCACATATACCACGCAAAAATATGCTGATCAACATCTATTCCAGACAAGTCGGTGTCGTTTGAAAAGTCAGTGTCCTTCAGTGACGAGCCACCAGACATGAACTCCCCCAAACAACATTCCCCGCAACATGCAGGTAACGGCTAGCGCACGTCACGTAAAACGCAAAATGTATGCTAAGCACGCTGTAAGGCCAGAATACCAAGTTACATGTCGTTAGATTACCCGTCGAGGAAGTGGTAGACGTTTATCCGAGCGCGCTCGCGTTGCAGCGCATCTCAAATGAAAAAAGTTTTTACTTTACGCTTTTTACAGCCCCGCTGCAAAGCAAAAATTTTCTCTTTGTTTCACGATGTCGGGTGAATGTAGATTTGAAAAGCCTGTGTTGTTTTAAACTTTCTTTCTAGCAGACCCCTGCTCGCACAAGTACAAATAAGATGAATGACATCCGTTCAATTAGCGCGACGGTTGGAGAATCAATCTTGTCGTGATGACGATACTGGCCTCTTCACGCTGAAACACTAAAAATTCCGTAACAATTCTCGCCGAGAAACTATACGGCAAAATATCGCGCTGTGACCGATTATTTAGCAATCAGCTCGAGCAGAAGTCGGATGCAGATTTGCCGTAAGACATTGTCGTGGAGCGCATTTCAATCCGGTTGAAATCGCCACGGACAGAAGTGACCCGCAATTATCAGAATCTGCGTTTCCGCTTTTCAAAATCTTACGAACTTCTCGTGTAATTTATACTCGATTTCGTCAGCCGCGTTAAACTGTTAACTGACGCAACGGATTTACAACTAACAAGCATAAACAAGGAATTGTTTTTCTCCACATTTCTTCTTCTCCCGACATTGTTTCTCCACCACTTCCTGTGACCACTGTACAGAGAACGTCAGATGTCCAGAGTGTACTCGATTCGCGTGAATGTTATTTACTTATAAGAGAATTCAGTCCAATCAAAAGAAGATCTCCGGAGAGTGAATGGATATTTATGACACAGAATGTGTCGATCCTCTCTCTCTCTCTTTCTTTCGCGCGGTAATGAATACTAACGCAATAATCTCTAACACCTTCTCGTACGATTCTGCAATGCCTACCACGACTAGCGGACACAAAACCTACGAAACCGGCAATCAAATCCTCCACGTTGCCGAGGATGTCGTCGCAAGGTAAAGCTTTTCCCGTGTTTCTCTTAGGGGTGGAACTGTTCGAAGCATTTGTGTCCGCTCGAAAATTTCGAATCCCGATTGCTATGGTATTTATTATTATTTATCATTGTAATATATTTTTATTATTACTATTATTCATTACATATTATTTTTCAAGATATATTCCTCTTTTGTTCGACTTTCAATTTTTTCCTGCTTGCATTCTCCTTCTGTAGAATATTTGCATATTCGAGAGTAATATTTGAATACGCCTCTAAAATAAGTACGATATATAAAAGTACTTTCATATTTCAATATTCGCGCGATAGTTCACACACCGGCAAAAAGCTTATAGATGTTACACGCGATTCGAACAGTTCCAGTCCTTGTGTCTACGCTTCTCCCCTATGTGTCACGCTGTGTCCACCGTGTTTGTATGTTACTCGTAACCAGCGTCGTTCCAAGTCTTTGATACGATCTTCTTCCGTCGTTCCGTTTCGAGCTCCTCTATCTTATTGATTTGTATTGCTCGTCCGCCCTGAGGCGACGACTGTATGGAGGGCACCGGAAAATTGTAAGTCCATCTTCAAATAAATGTCGAAACGAGCGTTGCACGTCGACATAGCTGGATTAAGCGGATTAATGTGTTCGTTTCCATATAAATCGATTTTCAAGGTATGTCGCGTGCGAGGAGGGCGGCGGATTTAGTCCAGGCGGAACGGACAGGGGAAAATAACGAGTAACGAGTTAATCAAGCGCTATACAGGGAGAGTCTGCATGTTTTATTTTTTTTTTTTATGTAAAACTCATCGAAATTACGCAAAATCTCACCTCGCGGAAGTTAACCTTCGTAAAACGTCGCGCTACGTATCCGTCACGGTCGGCAGCTACCAACGTTGATGTTCGCTCGATGGACCGGAAATTCTCTCTCTCTCTCTCTCTCTCTCTCTCTCTCTCTCTCTCTCTATCTATCTATCTATCTATCTATCTATCTATCTATCTATCCATCTATCTATCTATCTCTTCTCGAAATTGTGTCGCATGCGAAGTAGAAAAATCACGCGAGCAAGAGAATTCGCAATTTCGGAGGGGGAAGTCTCGTCGTTTCCGATCAGTACTTTGAGTCACATCAACCGGTGATGAAGACGAGCCACGACTATGCCCTTTTCTATGTGTCCTTCATATATCATCGTATTTTGACGAATGATCAAGTTATCTCATCCCGGCCGTCACGCCGTATGGACATCGTGCGTCTCTCCGCGCAGGACAATTCGCGTCGTGCTGTTTCGCGGAACATTTGTGACAAACACATTTCTACGCGCTCGTTCGACATTTGCGCTTGCGTTCCTCACGAAATACCGAGCGATTTCGTTTCTTTCTTTCCTTCTTTTTCTGTCTATCTGTCTATCTATCTATCTCTCTTTCACAAACTGAGCGATACATCACGGCTGCATATCTGCCGCCGCTGATCGCGCGAGAAGAGCGTCACGATACGTCTTACCGCCGCCCGACTCCTCGTAAATTCATCCTTTATTCATCCGATTCGGACGCCGTATTTTTATTTGTCCCGCCGGAACGACGTTCCCCGTCACTGTCGCTCGTATCATGAGATCGGTTCATTTGGTGTAGTCTCACGGCGCATTTGTCGCGGTGCAACGCGCCGCGAATTTGCCTTATTCCGCGTGGAGTACGAGAAATGCACGATCATGCCAAGATGCACTGGTCGAGAAAGATCATATCGGATAACTCGATCCTTCGCCGTGCACACTGAGAGAAAAAATATCCAAGAAATGGTAAATATTTATTCGGTATACTAATAACTTAGCTACTTAAATTCTTATATATATATATATATATATATATATATATATATATATATATATATGAGACAGTATTCAAATAAGAAAATAAACATGTTCTTCAAATTTTAAGGAAACCTCGGTTTTTTATGAAAGTAATTGTTCATTCCGTACAAATAAAAGAATTCAAATTTAAGTAAATATATTGCCTCCACCAAATCAATATTGACTACTTTTCAGATATTTTTTCTCTCAATAACAAACCGGTATAACAGCCTCAACGCGTGAAGGTTGACATTAACATTTCCAGAGCGCATAATATACTTCTTACAGGAAGCTCCAAAATGGCGTAACTTCATGTGCGTTGAGGCTATTGTGCCGGTCTGTGCAGACATTATTCCGGCGTCACTCACGGATCATACACGAGTCATTCACGTAGCGCACAGCGGGACGTATCACGCGGAGCATATGTGACACGCATACACATACCCGGTCCTCCACTTGAAGTATATCACTTCAGCGATATTTTCATCCGCTCAGTTAGGTCATCACAACTGTGTCCTTCTTCCGCTCCTGTCGCGCCTTTCGTCATCCGCCCAATAAAACCGCGGGCAATAAAAGTGACAGTAAAATTGTGTTGTCGCCGACCCGTTTAACCGTCCTGTCCTCTCATTACCGGACCCGCTCTTCCATCGTGCGAAACTGTTACGGCAAGGCATCGATCAGCGACAACGAGCGGCGAACGTCAAATCTAATCAGCCGTTTGAACCGCCGGCCGTGTTATTCGAAATGCCGGCGACGAATTGTCTATATGTCACCGCGGCAATCGCCGCCTTTCGCAAGTCCTGCGTCCGGCGAAACGAAACGCGAGATATACGCGAGGGTATCCAGGTACGCACCTGTTCGCCTTTGGACATTCGGCTGAGAAAAATGCAAGAAAGATAGACGGCTGTCCCGATTTCGCTTAATTGTTTTGCTGCCGGGAATCGGCCGAGAGTTGAATAAAGTGCACTTTTATCTACTGAACTCTTTGGACTCGTTTTGTCTCAATCACTTGTTACGGGCTTTCTCGTGGGACATTTGCCACTGCGTTGCTCGTTGCTCCAGATTCTCCTCGGGACATTTTTCGCACGGTAGAGGAAGCAGTATCCCATTGCGAGCTTAAGTCCTTAAGTGTTCGCGCAAGTCTGCCGACAGAAACGCGGAGCTCTCACGCGTGTCGAACGAACGATTGCAGAACGGGACAGGCACAAGCCGACGCCACCGCCGAAACCAGCCGCGTTGGTGGCCGGTCAATACGTCTACAGGGACTTGGCGCTCACGCCCGAGATGTACAACCAGCTGAGGGGCTTGCAGAAGAAGGCGAAGGACCTCAGACAGGAAGTGAGAAACCTCAGACGTATGTCACAGGCGCAAGCTCACACTGTGCGAGAGACCATCAGGGACACGTTCATCACAATCAGGTATTACGAATGCGTGTCTTACGTCTCAACGAGATGCTCTTTACGAGAGCACGAGCTACCTCGTAAAGGCGAGAAACAACGAATAGCATCAGAAAGTAAGACTCTTAAATTTATTACCGAACTTAGAAGTCTGTGAAGGTTAAGAGCCTTGCGTGTATCAATACGCAAAGAGGGAACAATTTTTATTGATGTGTGACAATAATTATTATAATTCACGCTGATATATTGTAAGCTCTCACATGTGTGGTGACATGTTTGATCTAGCTCCCCGGTTGGTGCTGCGCTCTTCGTGGATTTGTTTCCGACGTTTTGTAAACATTCCAGTTGTTCAAGAAGTGGAACGATCTGAAACTAATCGACATGCTTCAAGTTGTTCCTCTTCCTAAAGAAATAATCTGGAAACCAAATCAAGCATTATTGTTGATATTGTCAAACTATTTCGAACGTCGTCCATAAATTATACGATTGCGAAACAATTGGTATATTCTTGAAGTCGTCACGAGAAATCCGACTTATACAAATTCATTAACGCAGGGCAATGCTGTTATCGGGCGGAGACGCGGCTTGGACGGCCGGGGATGCGGAGAAGATTCGATTGAGCCGCGAAGAAGATCTCTACAAGCAGGAAATGATAAGGCTGGAAAAAGATCTCACGTGAGTATCACCGTGCCGCGGCATTGGCATCGGGAATAAGTCGCAGTCTCGCTGACGAACATTTGCAAATTTCAGCGAGCTGGAGAGCACCGTGGAGGAGCTTCGCGGCAACGTGATCAATAGAAAGACGCGTGTCAATATGTCGGATGTGGAGAACATGGCTTTAATATTGAGTAAATCCAGGTAAGCCGAGCGCGCTCGTTCGATAGAGTCGATTCTGCTTGAGCGAAACGCTGTCGCCGCGTCAGCCGCGCGACGACAGGGCGCTTGTGCCCGTTACCACCCGTTTCATATCAGTCATTTGATGATTTGATCGTTCGATCACTGAACGCGCAACATTATTCTCTCTCTTTTTAGCAAAACCGTGGCCGACTTGAAGGTGCGTTTCCCGAGTTTACAAGAAGGCATGAAGGGTCTGCTCAGCTCTGAGATGGAGAAAGTGGTACGCGAGGAGAAGTTTCTCAAGGAGGAACCCGAACGGCTGGAGTCTGCGTTGAGACGTTGCAAGAAACTGACCGGCACACTCGTGACGCTCAAACGGTACGACCATTCGTTATCGAGATACCGTTTTTGTGAACAACAAATCTTACTTTATAAAATCGTTGAAAGACTCCAAAAAGAGATAATATCGATATGTGGAGCTTTTATATTAAAATGAATCGAATACACTTTCATGCATACATTTCCTTTCACGTTCGAAGTAACTATCAGGAGTGTCGGACACACAATCTGCGCGAGCAACAACATTGCAAAAATGCACGCAATGTTCCCGTATCAGAGATCTCGCGATTTTCCTCTCGAATGACAAAACTCATGACGTTTCTTGGTCTTTTGCTTAGCTTGGCGTCGGTGCAAGAGCAGCGATTACCAAACGCAGCGAGCGTAGATGCCGAAGACACACCACCGATAACACCGACGACGGCACAACATTCCAAGGTAACCACTCCATTGAACCCGCTCGCTCGCTCGCTCGCTCGCTCTCTATCTATCTCTCTCTCTCTTCTCTCTCTATCTTTTCTATCTGTCTGTCTTTCTCTCTCTCTCTCTCTCTCTCTCTCTCTCTCTCTCTCTCTCTCTCTCTCTCTCTCTCTCTCTCT